GACTTTGATTCAAGCATACCAAACCTTTCTCTCTGTCTCTAGTGATCTCCATGCCAAGGATCTTCTTTGCTTCACCAAGATCCTTCATCTCGAACTCATTTTTCATTTGCTTCTTCAATTTCTCAATCTCTTCAACATTCTTTGAGGCAATCAACATATCATCAACATATATCAACAAATAAATGAAAGACCCATCTTGCAACTTCTTGAAGTACACACAATGATCATATTGACTTCTAGAATAATTTTGGCCTCTCATAAATTTATCAAACCTCAAATACCATTGTCTTGGAGATTGCTTCAAGCCATAAAGTGATTTCTTCAACTTGCAAAACAAATTTTCTTTCCCTTTCACTTTATACCCATCCGGTTGACACATATAAATCTCTTCATTCAAATCACCATGCAGGAAAGCCGTCTTCACATCAAGTTGCACAAGTTCAAGATCATATTGTGCAACAAGAGCTAACATAATGCGAATTGAGGAGTGCTTCACAACTGGAGAAAAGATTTCATTGTAGTCAATGCCCTCCTTTTGTGCATACCCTTTTGCAACTAATCTTGCTTTGAATCTGACATTGCTTTTCTCATCAACATCTTCCTTCTTGGCATACACCCATTTGCAACCAATAGCTTTCTTACCCTTAGGCAATTTAGCTAACTCCCAAGTCTTGTTTTTCATGAGAGAATTCATCTCGTCGCCCATGGCATTGCACCACTTCTCCTTTTCCTCACTCTCAATGGCTTCCTCAAAATTGGATGGAATCTCATCAGTGATAATAGGAAGAGCAAAAGCAACATAGTCACTATACCGAGCTGGCTTGGTAATATTTCTCTTTCCTCTGTTCTTGGCAATAGACTCTTGAGGTGAAACTTGCTCTTCAACTTGAATAGAATCTTCAAGTTCAACTTCTTCAACATCCTCATGGTCTCCCACTTCTTCACTTGTAATGGCTTCGACATCAGTGGAAATAGGATTTGAAGTACCAGAGGCAACTTTCTCAAGCTCCACCTGTTGGACATCTTTCACATTCTTCTCAGAGCCTCTGAACATACTTTCTTCATCAAATGTCACATCTCTGCTGATTACAAGTTTTTTCATCTCCGGGCACCATAACCTGTAACCTTTGACACCACTACTAAAACCAAGAAAGATAGCCTTTTTGGCTCTAGGATCAAGTTTATTTTCAGTTACATGAAAATAAGCAGGTGAACCAAAAATACGAATATAATCATAATCAGTAGAAGGTTTTCCAGTCCATACCTCCATTGGCGTCTTACCCTGAACAGCAGCTGAGGGTAATCGGTTGATGATGTGACATGCATAAGTAACTGCCTCTGCCCAAAACGACTTGCTCAAACCCGACTGAGCCAACATGCATCTAACCTTCTCAAGCAAGGTTCGATTCAATCTTTCTGCAACTCCATTTTGTTGTGGAGTTCCCCGGACACTAAAATGTCTTACAATCCCTTCCTCTTTGCAAACTTTAAAGAAAGGGTCGAATGTGTATTCACCACCATTATCCGATCTCAAAATCTTAATCTTTCTCCCAGTCTGGTTCTCAATCATTTTCTTCCAACCCAAGAAAATGCTCAACACCTCACTCTTGTGCTTCATAGTGTAGACCCAAGACCTTCTTGAATAATCATCAACAAAGGTCACGAACCAATGTCTACCACTCAAAGAGGGAGTCTTTGTAGGACCCCAAACATCCGAATGCACATAATCAAGAATGCCCTTCGTCTGATGTACAGCAGTACCAAACTTCACTCTAGTTTGCTTCCCCAAGACACAATGCTCACAGAAATCAAGCTTACAAGTCGTGGCACCTTTTAGAAGACCTTGTTTCACAAGCCCTTGTAGAGCTTTCTCACCGGCATGGCCTAATCTCATATGCCACAATCTAGTAGTATCAGAATCGGATGTGCCCATATTTTCTGAGACTACAGATGCTTCACCTGTCACAGTGCTTCCTTGCAATAAATACAAATGGCCACATCGAGGAGCTTTCATCACAACAAGTGCACCATAAGTCACCTTCAATGTCTGCCCATCTGAGTGAAACCTGAAGCCCTTGGCTTCCAAAGCTCCCAAAGAAATAAGATTTTTCTTCAAATTCGGTACATACCGAACACCTGTCAACTCTTTAACCATGCCATCATGCAACTTCAAACGAACTGTACCAATCCCTTTTGTTGTGCAAGGATTGTCATCTCCCATGAACACAACGCCGCCATCAAACTCTTTCAAGCTTGAAAACCAATCCTTGTGAGGAGTCATATGATGAGTACAACCCGTATCCAACACCCACTTAGTAGCACAATCAAATGATGAGGTAGTGGTTAAAGCAAAATCAGAAAAATCTGTTTCAACTTCAGCAACATTAGCTTCAGAACTTTCTTTACCTTTGGCCTTCAACTTAGGACAATCTTTCTTCCAATGGCCCTTATTACGACAAAAGGCACATTCATCCCTTTCCAAAGGTTTTCTACCTTTAGAGTTTCCTCTAGGTCGAGACTGTGATTTTTTCCTACTAGAAGATGATCTTCTCTCCGATGATCTACCTCTAACAAATAAAGCTTCAGAGGTACTATCATGATTTTTATCTCTATGCCTCATTTCATAATTCATCAAGGCATTTGACACATCTTCAAATTTCACAGTTTCTTTACCATGCATAATAGTGGTAACAAAATGCTCATAAGAGTCCGGCAAGGAATTCAACAATATTAAGGCTTTATCTTCATCCTTAATATCCTCATCTAAATTTAACAAGTCGGCAATCAACTTATTAAAAGCATCAAGGTGTCTAATCATTTTTGTACCTTCTTTGTATTGGAAGCGGTAGAGCTTTTTCTTCAAGTGTAGCCGGTTCTCTGCACTCTTCGTCATATACTTGTCTTCTAATTTTTGCCACAACACACTTGCTAATGTCTCCCGCATCACAAAATACTTCTGAGTTTTTGCAAGGCACAACCGAATTGAAGAGCAAGCCCACAAATTTAATTTCTCCCATTCCGGCTTCGACATAGCTTCCGGCTTCTCTCCCAAAGCGGCAAGTAGATCTTGTTGAGCCAACACATCTTTTACCTCACATTGCCACATCCCAAAGTTGTTTGTGCCATCAAACTTTTCAACTTCGAACTTTGCATTTTGCACCGTAGTTCTTGCAAAACCGGAGCTGCTTCCAAAAGGATTCTCATCTTGCCCGTCTGACATTTTTGGCAACTAGACAGTACCCAAGAGCAACCAGTGCTCTGATACCAATTGTTGTGCTAGGATAGCACCAAAATCTTTTGGAACCAACTCAAGCTAGCCCACAAGAAATTTATCAAATGGAAATGCAAGAACAAAATTTAAAATAACACCAAGATTTTAACGAGGTTCCTCCACAGTCAGTGTAACTGGAGTACGTCCTCGGAGCAGTAGGAGCTCACCCAATAATCCACTATCAACCAAATGGGAGTTTACAAAGTGTTGGCAATCTCACAACCCTTAACCCCAATACACCCAAAAGCTCTCACACACCAAAGAAACAAGTAGAGAAGAAAATATAGTGATTAATTTCTTCTCTATACAAAGCTCAAAGCTATTACAATTACTTTGATGGATGATTACTAACCAAAAAGGAAGAGCACCTTCTTCTCTTCGAAATGGGGTTGCTGCTCCAGATTTCTTCTTCTTCTCTGCCCTCTGTTTTTCAGCTCTCACTCTCTCCCTTAAAACCAATGAGGATAATTGCTATCCTTTAATTAAAACCCCAAAGCCATCCGTGGCTTTTCCCATGGGTCAAGACAAAAAAAAAAAAAAACAATTCCCTTTTTTTCCTCCCCAAAACAAGGAAGACACAATGATGTTGTCCACCTTCTTTTTTCTTTTCAACAAACATCATCATGTCCACTTGGCCACTAATTCAACACATTTCTTTTTCTCTTCTGTGTCCTGTAGTAAAATTTATGTTTGAGTTCTCAGCTGGAAGGCCTAACTGCTAAAGAACACCACCTCTTCTTGTTTCTCATTACATGTGCTAGGCTCTGGAGGGCTATCAATTATTAATATAAACTAACATCTCTATTTCCCTTGGATTATCCATCTTTACTGTATGAGTACGTAGTGAAAAATGCTTGTTAAAACCCTAATTAATGAAAGAGAAATCCAGAGCCTAGCACATGTGATTGAAGATTTTTTGTTGAACACTGCAGAAGAGCGTTAATTTACTTGTTTTCATTTTATGTGGATCTTTTTCTCTTTTTCTTAACAAAGAAATGGATTGATTATATTTGTTATACTGGAAAGGTACATAAGCAAAACTAGCAGATATAAAATCTTAATAACTGAATGATTCCAGTTTCAACCCAAACTCACGAAATGAGATATGATTATGCGCAGAAGATCTTGTTCGTCATATTATTTTTTACACCTGATAATTTAGGCAAGAGAATTGGAAGATCTAATGCTGCTCGAAAAAAGAAATATCTTGATGCAAAAACTCAAAAAGAAAATTTGAAACAAGCTTATATTGGGGCCGAATTTGGTATGTTTGAGGTTCAAGCTTGCAGACCATTGCTTGCGAATTCAATTAAAGGCGCTGTGTTATAGCTTCATGAATATTATCAACTAAAGAAGATGGGATATTATTATTAGGTACAGGAAACTAGAAGAAGATCATCAATTCAGTACTTTTAGTAATGCGAAAACAACCCGAAACTCGTTCCTTTGGCCACTATGCAACCAACTTGAAAGTTGAAACGACATATATATATATATCATTCTGTTGAATTTCTCAGCACAACTATCAACTTCATTGTATGTTTTGCACATAATGTTGCCCTAAGTTAACAGAAAATAATTGATTACCGAGAGTAGTTCGCATACAAGTTGAACCAGAAAAATACGTACCCTTCTTGTGCCAATTAACTACTTTTCTCCTAATTATTCCGATCATCTTCCGTTGCTCTGACTACTGGATCAAGTATCCCTTCTTGAAGTTTTCCCCCTCTTAGAGGGAGAGGGACTTGCTGCTCTCAACAATAATTGGGTCGCCATCAAGAAGACATAGACTCCTCATGCAAATGGTATATATGAAATGAAGGTATAGACCTGTAGTTTCAACTTCTTTCCAACTATTTTTCACTAAATCAAACCAAGCAAACTTTTGTAAGTCATTCATCAGAAGAACACTTCCACCATTCTTTGAGAGCAGCACGGGTTCCCACCAACTAACCCAACTCATAGCGGCCTGCTCTATAGAATAAGGCAGGGTCCAAGATCCACGTTCCTTCATAATCCAAGCATCTATGGTGCGCAAACGAAAAATACATAGAGAGTTTCCCAAGACCTCTGTATGCACATTCTCATCAACCGGGGTGGGAAACCAGTGATATTTCTTACTGGCAAGCTCAAAGGTCACAACATGCATTTTTATATCTAACATGTTCTGTGCCAGCCAACTTAGAGCACCGTTCGAAAACAGGATCCGACTTACAATCATATGAAACTCGCAAGGCATGTTTCTTATCTTTCTCCATGAGTTGGATTTTAGGCTATAAATTTCATATTGATGCATAGCCATATTAAAATTCGTAATTCCCAAAAGTTTATAGTCATCGTTTGTTGAATCATACCCGAATCCATAGCCGAGGTACATATGTTTATCTGATGATGGAGACTGCTCAAACGTTGGGGAGGGAATCTTTTTGAACTTTCGAATTGACGGATTCCACAAAACAAAATCCTCGTCCTCGTCCCTCTCGGTGCGAATGCAAATTATCCCATTGGATGAGACCAACGTGGAAGGAAAAGGAGTCTGGCTTTCTGCGTCTTGCAGAGGCGGCTGCTCCATTTTCATGGCTCGTTCTATAGTACCGTCGTTGTAAATATCAGAGAACTTGAACAAACATTTCTTGCAAGAAAAAGTTGCAGATACAAAAAGAGAGCCAAAAGAATTGGTTTGGATGGAGCGTTGGAGATGGGATTTGATGAAGTTTTTGTCATGGATGGTAGTATTCCAAGCTTTGGAAACACATAAACATCGTAACAAGTCCTCAGGGGGGAGCCGTAAAAGGATTTCAAAGAGTAACTCCGGTGGGAACTCCCCCATGGTAAAGCTTGCAGAATTCTTGTAGGTTTAGGGTTAGGCGTCACTTGTGCGTGGGATTTTATGGTTTGGGTTGGCTTCCACCAATTACTCAAGTTTTGGGACAAGTAAGCCGCTAGACTTGCATACGTTATTATTTTTTGGCTTAAATGTTAGGTCTCTGTGTTTTAGTCATCAGGTCAATTTAGTTTTTGTGTTTTCAATTTGGTCAATTTGGTCATTCTGTTCATTTCCGTGAGCCAATTAATCATATTTTCATCTAATATCTGTAAAAAAATTCATAAAGTATTATAAACTTAGTTATTAAATTATTTATTTGATTTAAAATATTTAAAAATAAATAAAATTTTAAAAAAAATCTCCTCCCAACTCTCCAACGTTACTTCCCTCTCTTTTCTATGTGTTAACCTTAATAATTTTTCACATTGGAAGTTTTTTTTCTTTTCTTATATGTGTTATTTCTCATTGATTTGCATTTTTTTTGTAAAGAAAAAGGGTAATTATATCTCTTATAATTTTTCTTATGAATTTTTAACAGAGATTGAATGAAATGTCCTTAATTGGCTAAGATAAACACAAGCACTAAATTGACCAAATTGAAAACATGGGGACTAAATGGACCAAATGGCTATAACACATGGACCATTTGACATTTAAGCCTTCTTTTTTTTTTTGAACAAACGGTGTTATCTAGAGGGAGATGATAAATTAAGTCTCGCAATAGGCTAGCGATAATGTGGTTCAAATTCGCATTTGGCGAGAATCGAACCTAAGACTTCTTACTTATAAACCATAGTACTATTAGTTGCGCGTTTGTTTGCCCTCCTTAGCTTTCACTGGACTACATTAGACTAAATGGTAGTGTAATCCTGTGTTTGTTACACACGAGGACTAACTTTAATGAGACTCGCTCCGACTAAACCGGACTACAAGCTTCACTAGAGGGTCTTAGCAAGACCCCCCAAAATTGGGCGGACTGCTAAGCCCAACTCTGCAACGCTTCGCCGCTCCATTCTGCTCCTTCTTCGCCTCCTATAACCCTTTCAAACCCTGATCCCGCAAAACTTGAAACAAAAAAGCAAAACTTTTTCCAATTTTTCCCTTTCAAAACCAAATCCAACTCCCAAAATTTGAACCCAGAAAATAAAAAAAACCCAGAAAACCAAGAAACCGATAAACCCAACCAGATTCAACCCCTATCTCCCACCTTCGAGCCAATAACACATGCATCCCGCCCCCCAGCTAAAAATTCAATCCCTACCTCACACACGGAGGCAAAGAAAAAACAAAGGGAACATCAAAGTAAGGAGCAACCTGGTACAGAGAACATGAGGGTGAAATAAGTGAGAAAAAAAGGGAGAGGGGAGGAGGATAGTGGCGGAGAAAGCAATAGGAAAACATGATTCTAGAAAAGAACAAAAGAAAAAGTAGAAGGCTTTTTATATTAGCAACCCACAAAATGTTGAATACATCCCACATTGAAATTTTAATATTAAATGATTTATTTATCGTACTATGCAATGACAATTTTGACCTTATCATGTTTTTTTTTTTAAAAAAAATCTAAATAAACCCCAAATCACTTTTAACATATTATTTATCTTCTTTAACTATCAAAATCCCTTTGACCCTCCATTGTTGAACAAAATCCTAACCAATGAAACTACAAACATGTTGATTGAGAAAAATTACTTTTGACGAATGAAACATGAAATCGATATTTCTGAAGCTTCACATGAGGTAAGACTTCATATTTTTTTTATTGTTTTAGTGATTTTGACGACATCAATAATTATTTAATCTTGCTTTTGCTGTGTTGTTCAAGCTTCTATGTTCGTATTCATCTTTTCGGGTTCACAAGGATTACATGAAAAATTAAACACCTAAAATTACCACCAAATATTAAAAATAGACAACATGAATTTTAATGGTGGATTGTGGAATTGAAAACAACCCACATTTTAAATCCTAGGCGGCATCTTTTGTCAAAATTTCAGTCGGCATTTTTTGTCCAAATTAAAAACTTTATAAGATTTGAGAAATGTGGGGTGTATAGAAAATATGGGGTGCATGTAGAAAATGTAAGGTGTATATTGAGAATGTGAGGTGTGAGGTTATTATGGGGAAGTATATGGGGTGTATTAAGATAATTTTTCATTGAAAAAGCAAATGTGGGGTGTATTAAGTATGTGGGGTTATTCAACAATTTGTGGGATACTAATATAATAAGCCAAAGTAGAAGTAATAATATAATATTAATAAATTTAAATTAAATTAATAATAAAATATTAATAGGTACAAATTAAATAATATAATATTTGAATCATGTTTTTTAGTTCGACACTACATCAAACGCTTCATTAAATCAATCCAGTTTAATCTATTCCAATCCAGTCTAGCTTAATCTCTACTGCTAGTCCAGTTCGAAATAATCCAATGAAACAAACGCACCCTTATTGTACTTTAATTGCTTGCGGAAATTTCTCTTCAACCTCCCTAGGTAAGGCCAAGTGAAAACATATATAATACTATTATAAAGGGGTAGTCCAAATTAATATTATTATATAAAAAAAAATATTATTGTTGAATTAATTTCCATTAAAAAGACAGAACTGCATTACACCTTAAAGGTTTGGGAGAGATTTTTAGTGTGTCTGAATCAAAGACTGGTGCTAGAAACTTATAACCAAAAAAAAAAAAAAATTCAATTAATTGTATTATGATACTTAACATATCGAGCTTATGTCAGTAAAATATTCATCGAGGTTTGGAGATGCTTATCAAAATGGGCCACGACGACCTCTCGGTTTTGCCCATATACACCCTTAGGTTTTTAAGTTGCACCATTTAAGCCTTCTGTTTGTTTGGCTGTTTTAGGTACTGTTAAATAGTGGCTATGGGATCCATTTGGTGCTGAAGGTATAAAAGAATCTCAGTTCAGCTCTGGATTTATTTTCACCATCTGAACGTATAAATTTCTTAAAAGCCGAAGAGAGGCGAAGAGACGGATCCAATGTGCACTGGCTCCCGCCCTTCGTACAAGAAAATATTACTTTCAGAGGTCTCAAGTATTGCCTTGAATATGTTCAAAGGAAACACACCGGCTAATCTTACGACACTAACTCTTGCAACGTGCATATATATATATGCATGCAACCAGTTTTACAGAGCACAATGATTTACAGGACACTCCCCATCGGTAATGATTGATGTCCGAGACTGAAGCTCCACAAACACTAAGACAACAACACAACAAAGCCTTTTCCCACGAACACTAAGACATTGAAAGAAAATCTCCACATTACCAGTAAATCCATACATCCATGTACGTGAAACGTCTTAAAGTATTAACAAGCATGGGAGAGATAAAGGAAGGAATTATACCCTTGTCGAGTTCTGAGGCGCAAAGATTTGCTCACAGAGAAGCTTCAACCTTCACAGTTCCACCATGGGCTGGTGCCGGACCATTGTTCGATGCGTCTTCCGAGATATCCATCAAATGACTATTTTTAAACTGGTCCACAGAACCGGGATCAGCCGATGGGCAACAACTTTCAGATCCTTGGCGAGGAAAGCACTGCTTGATCTTCACACTGTCAGTAAAGCATTCATTTGACAAGTTCACTAAGCCTGCTGTCTTGCATTCACACGGCAACTTGGTAGGAGTAGGTGATTCAGATGCATCGGATTTTTTTCCGGATGAATCCAACGGTCTATGGAAGAGCAAATGAGCCACAGTTCGATCTATGGGATTGGTCTCTGTTTCCAAATCCGGTATCCTACCAAACCTACAATACCATAGGATTAACAGGAAAAGTGAGTGAAGAAACAATCACCAAAAACAAAATGTTACTTAGCCCTAACCCAAATATAAAATTGACCGCAGTTTGTACACCACAAATAGATAGAGCAAAACAAAAGCTCGAACATTCAGCAATACAAAGGCTATCGAGTATAGTCAAGAAGACATAATACATGAAGAACTGGAGTAGCTGTGTGTCCGCAGAAAGTTAATAGAAGATAAGAAATATATACAGCATAAGGTAGTTTTCTTTATCAAATTTCCACGGACCAACCGACCTTTCCACCTTTGTCTCTGTACAAGAACCTGGCTGACCATTCCACTTTGGTGAAGATGTGAGTATTCAACACAATATCAATTGGCAATGTGGAGAGTCCCAAGATTTTTTTAAGCATTTAGATTGCATCCTTCGATATGAGATATTCTCAACACACCACCTCACATGGACCATTTTTATGGTTGACATGGCATATGTGGGACTATGGAGCATGCTGCAGACTCTATTAAAATATGAGCATCCAAGCCAAAAACAGTCGGCATGGAGAGGCCCAAGATCTTTTAAGCACGTATGCAAGAGTTCCATCTTTTGATGTGGGATGTGTAAAATCCATGAAGGCATTCAGCATACAAAGGATAACCAACACTTGCAAAATGAAAATGTAAATTAAAAAAAAAAAAAAAAAAAACCCTTATGAGAACAAAGAAAGCTTTTTAACCTGTCATGACTATTGATTTCGTCCTTTGCAACAACTTCATCCTCATCCTTGCTAATTTTGTTTGAACTGCTAGTATCACTATTATAATGCCTCTGCACTGCACTTTGAGCCAACCGGAACAAGCTATCCCGTATGCAAAGCCTTATTTTGATGTCCAACTGTAGTAAAACATTGTTTTTCGGTTGTAACTAAATCCAAGTTATCTTACCTGGAAGAGAATCTACTTTGAAAGTGAGCGTACCTTTGATACAATACCTTGAAGCCTATAAAGTATTGTATCCTCCGCTGAGTGATCATCAACTGCTGCAGAAACCATATCGGAATCATCTTGTTCTATGGATGAGTTTGGGTCCAGAGAAGGAAGAGTACTTAAGCCTTCAACTTCCAGATCAGCTCTCTCAAAGTGCTGAATTTGATTTTCCTGCGGACATTTTTGAGAGCTAGACTGAGTGGTACTAGAGATTTGATGACTAAGTTGTTGCTGTTGCTTCTGAATAGCAAGCATTGCCTGTAGTTGCTGCCGCCTCCTTAACTTTTCAATTTTTTCTTGAGGTGACATGGTTAGCGGCTTTGCAGAAGTATCTAATGACTTGTTTATAGTATTTGCCTTTCCAGGAGAAACTTCACAACCAGAAAACAAAATTTGATGCTTAAATTCCCCAGGCTGAATTTGAGATGACACATGGATAGATGGATTAGTGAGGTTCCCATACATAGACTGGGCCACACTTTGGTTTGAGATATGCTGGTAGGGTAAAGACTCGGGTCCTTGAAGCTGTCTCTTCTGACTGAGAGCTGCAGAAGGAGAAGATTGTACCATGAAGCGTTCCGATTGGTTTTCAAAATGTCCAGAAGGGGTTCTTGATGAAGGCCAAGTACCATAAAAATCTTGCACTGATTTCTCCTCATTTTTTTCCTCCAACTTTTTACGACACCTCATTAACTTTTTCTGCCTAGAAACCTGCATGAATGAAGGGAAAAACACTATAACCCATTTGAACGATGAATAAATACAAACTATAACAGTAGTTCGATACGTTGTCATCAGTAAAGTCTTTCCTCGAGGAAATTATGGTGTCAAAGGAAATGTTCAAAATATGACATAACCGTATGAATCCATAGAAGAATTAAAATATATCTTTATGGTCGGACGGATAATTAGAATGATTATGACATTTCTACAATTGGTGTTAAGTACATCATTCTCTCTGAATGCGAGTCGATGAAATGTGAAAGTAGTACAATTCGATCTACATAGTAAGTAAAAGATTAATGATAGTACTCTAACTACCGCTGGCACCTAGGTTCGAAGGGAAAAACTCTGAAAAACACGATATAAGATGAAAACAACCATACTTTGACTAAGGATAACTAGGCTATGGACACTGCGCCTCTTTAACAATTTGGTTACTAATTACTCTACCTCCCTGCTAAACAGACTTTCATTACAAAAAATTGACACTCCGTTTACTTTTTACTTTCATAACTGATTTGCCTCATCACAGGACCTTGATATATCTGAACATAAGAGTAATAAAAAGAAAAAAAGTGGCAGTACCTTATCAGCTATTTCATTTGGGAAAAAAGAATTTTCAGCATTCAGGTAAGGATTCGTCAAAGTGCTTTTTCCTGTGTCCATATCTGACTGTGAAATTCAAATACAATTATGAGATCACTTGGCTTGCTTTATTAGGTGAAAGACATGACTACGCTATGGACTAATCATGTTTAGATTAACTCTTACCTCTTCCTTGTCCACAGGCTTACTTTTAACTGCAGCATATTCTACTTGATCAAGTGTGGCATGCACATTCTGCAGACCATGACCTGTAGAATAATCCATATTCCCATTGCCTGGGATGATCGACTGGTCATCTTTCTGCATATAGTCTGATTTAATTTCCAAATGCTCAGAAGCATTTGTTACCGCACCTGATGTGAAACTCTGTGAATCTGAAGATACAGGAAAGGCTTTGATTGGACTGTTAGTTGCATCTCTAGAAGACCATAGCTCTTCATTATTACCAAGACTTATGTTGCCAAATATAGTGTCATCATTGCTGCAAAATCATTAATAGTTTGAGACTACAGAGTCGGATGGATACTATTAATAGTATTTTTAAAAAAATGGAAAGTAGAATAATCTACGTAGAGGAATGGAGAGAGAAGTATCATAACTTATTAATATTTATTTCATGGTCTGAAATTCTAATGCAATTTACTACAGTGTATTTTGCATATGGTGTACTTTCAGTTTGTGAACTTGTACATCAGCGGAAAAGGAAAAATGGGGTACTTGAAAGGAAAAAGCCACAACCGTCGCAGAACAAACCTAATTTTTTTAGGCATGGGTGTTTAGAAACTACTGAGGAATAATGAAACTACACAATTAGTTTTCATTTAATTAGTTCAGCAGATCGTGCCAGCTTGTCAATTCTGAAAAGAATAAGAATGCGCTGCAATTTTTTTTGATAGGAAAAAAAAGTCATTTATGTCAGAATGTTCTCGAGTCAAACATGCTCCATTAACAATTAAAAAAAATGATGTCATTGTAAATTACCTGAAAATCTGATCAAGATCATCAAAACTTCCAATGTTAGCCCATCCGTAGTCAACAAGATCACCTTGTTCTTTACCTTCATTGGAGTTTTGAAAAATTTCACCATCTTTATCAAGTTGGATTCCCTCAGCTGTTAAAAAGGGTCAACATTTTATAAGAACCACAAATATTGTAAAAACCAGCTGAATAATATATAAGATGGATGAAAAATTCATCACTTCTATATGAGAAACGGTAGAGACAACAGTCCCCTTCCCCAACACACAACAAATAAGGAGCTGCATTAACAGGGATTCCTTTATAATGCTTTGACAGCAGACACCGTCAAGAAGCTAAAGGTTTATCCTACCAATTTAACTCCACATCCTCCCCTCTGTCCTCAAAGAGCCTCATGTTCTGTTCTAACCTAATACTCCACATGAGAGAAAAATCAGCACATCTCTAGACTGAGCACCATTTTGCTATCCTCCTTCTGCCCAACAACCCTCCGACAATGATAAAAAAACAGATCCTTGGACCACTCACAAGTCACAAAAATAAAAACACCACCAACATGCAAGCCCAAATCTACCCAGCGAGTCAATGTAGAAAAAAGTAGTCATAAGGCCTTCTTCTTTGGAACAATTTATTTCTAAAATCATTCCTCTAGCTCAATCCGATACTTAGACTCCTTCCTCATCTAACAAATCAGTCTCCTTAGTCATGCTCAAAATTGTGTTATTTAACTCACATCACCAGAAATTTTCTTATTACACACTTTCAGCTTGTTAAGCTCATTGCAATTTCTTTAGAAACTTAAAACCTTCTTTCAAAACAACTTAAAACCTTCCCATCCCTGAACTGAACATTCCAGCCACCATCCCCTGAAAGACTTATGTTGCAACCACTAATCATCAAATCTAATCACAAGACGAATCCACCAGAACAGTATAACGGTTAGTCCAAAAACTAGGGTTGTCGTCCAACATCCAGCTACTCCCTCTCCCAATCACGTGCAAAAATGAATCTATACAACTTAGAAACCAAACCTGTCATTAAAATTGGACAAACAGATTGATTGTCCTGTAAGACCTACAGAAACTTCTCTGCCTCCCTAATCAGCCTGTCAAAAAACTTAAAACTTCTACTCGCTTCTCCAATAATCATGTAGCAAACCATGCAGGTTCTATTGAACAACCAAAGGAAATGTGAGGGTGGGTATGAATGCATGCAGGCACAATTTATAACTATTTCCTTATCATGTTGCTATTTAGCTTCTTTGTCATTTTTAGAAAGACCACATCTGTCACATCCCGGCCCGAGGCGGATCACTTCCCGGGCCCACTCCACCACCGTAGCACGATATTGTCCGCTTTGGGCTTACCATTCCCTCACGGTTTTGTTTTTGGGAACTCACGAGCAACTTCCCAGTGGGTCACCCATCATGGGATTGCTCTAGCCCCCTTCTCACTTAACTTCGAAGTTCCGATGGAACCCGAAGCTAGTGAGCTCCCAAAAGGCCTCGTGCTAGGTAGAGATGGGAATATACATATAAGGATCACTCCCCTAGGCAATGTGGGATGTCACAACATCCCACATTTTTTTTTTCATTGAATACAAGTTCATGTTTTTGACTTCTAACTTCATTTTGTTGATCTAGCAAGTTAAAGACACACGGAAATCACCATGAATATTGTTTAAAGCATATATTCTACCAACATTATGCCACATCAACTCAATTAAAATCTCATATTAAACAATTGCACCCCACTATCACTAATATTCGAATTTCAAGCAGTTCGATGCAATTGAGTTTTTCAGGTGATTTAACGAGTTAATCAGAGATAGTCTAATTGTGTTCACAACTTCACAGAAAAAAACTAATGGAAAGATTGACGTCCCAGAAAATAACAACACTTAACTAAAAAAGACTCAGCATTTAATAAACGATAAAGGTCCTAGGAAATAATAGAAGGACCAGTAGTAAATGGAGCTGAGATAAAGACCAACTTTTCAATAGGATACAATGAAGCATAACAAATTAACCTAAGCCTGAATAAAAACAATTGATTTCCATCGTCAATCAGAAATGTACATGGGTTAACTGACACTCAATTATCAATCCCCTCTGACGGTCTCTTTGTGTGTTAGTTTGTCAGTGTTTGTTTCTCCAACATCTTATCCAAACCAAACTAAAGATGCTTTATGATTAAAATATAGATAAATAATAAATCATAAATGAAGGTGATAATTTCAGTTAAGTTGTTGTTAGGTGCTTCAGTACCTATGCAATGTTGTTCACTTTTTGCAACATTAGACAATGATAAATCAGGCCACGAGTCCATTCCAAATTCAGAGGTAGAAATTCCTTCACCCATATCAAAATTGGAACTGCTTTCCAACTTTCTGTCTTGCAAGTCAATTTTGGACCCATGGATCTTCTGTTCGGTAGGCTTCATGGTGTGAGATTCTTGTTTCCATTCCTTCTTGTTGCAATAATCATCACTTGCCTCGTTATAAGGCACAATATGATCATCACTCTCACCTGCCTCACCCCATATTATGTTTGCAAGCTGCAAGAACAAAAGAACTTTAACATTAGCATGAGGGCATGCCAAGAACACTATTTAAATAGTATCGTTGAAAAGTTGGTATAAACTACTTAAAAGATCACTGAAGGTAATAGAAGAAGATTCTGTCAGCTCAGTGGCTTATCACTTCTTGAGATTGCATAAATATCAGAGATATAGAGACAAAATCAATAACTGCATGAGGATTAATGTGCACTCATTGGACAACTACAAATCTTGAAGCTTCATGATCTTTTACAAATTTGGACATGACTTCCACCATCCTGAAGGTTAAAACCCAAAAGAAAAGCATTACCACTCAAACTGCAACTTCGCAAATTTGAATGGAGAACAAAATGCTAACATTTTCCAAGCACATTTGCAAGAGAAACATGCTCATTGCATTCAAGCATTTATACACCTGATAAGCCTACATCCCTTTTCCCAAACATATGCCAATTCTGCAGTTCCACAATACAGCTTTCGTAGTTTTCATTGTTGTTTATGTGTTCTATAACTACCACAGTGTGTGTAACAGCCTTCGAGACAGTGCTTTATAGCTTTCAAGACTAAGACTTTATTAGTATTTTTTTTTTTTTCCTTGTACCTTCTTCACTCTTATATTTTCCAGTTACAGTATAGAAACCCTAACGAAACACATTTTCCATAGAACTCCATATAACCCCTAAAGCTCAATATTTCCTGCATAACTTCCACTTCGAGCAACATCAATTCTGAACATGTTGTTTATCCGGTCTTCATTTCATTTCACTTTAATGAACCCTAGTTCTGCCCGATTCTGGTTTCTTCGCCTTGCTTTCACTCCACCAAGGACCTATGTCACCATCATGTATAATCACTTTATCCCCTACTTTTGATGACTACGTGCTTGTATCCTCATACTAACAAGCAGTGACTCCAATACAAATTCAAATTGGCATTCCAAACACCTTAACAACATAACTGATATTCCGTTTGTTCAACAACTAAACCGCCTTCGGAACTGTTCATTCTTGGATTCTCTCCATTGTGCTTCAATCGTTTTACAAAAATATAGTCGAAAATCGAATCAACTTATTTCGCAAATTTCTCAGTGAGTTCAAAATTTACTAACAACCATTTCTTTAGCTCGGTTTCTCATTGGCTAAATTGTAACACAAATTCAAGAAATATAACTATTTGACTCTTGTTTTTGGTGAATAACCCCAAATTGATCACCAAAAACACACAGAAATTCACCTAAAATTCAACAATAGCAACGGAAACTCATATCTTTTCACTCAAAAACCAAAGAAAAATTCAAAATTTTAATCATTAACGCAACAAATTTAAATGTTTTAATCTTATTGCTTAATAATCCAAAAAATATTGCGAAGAAGAAGACGAAGAAGAAAAGGCACACCTCCTCGTCGTTCCAATCAAACATCTCTGAAGAAGCCACAGTTAATCGCAAAACCGAAACCGAATTCAGATCGACGCACACAGTTTGGTCCACACATCGCCAAGAAACTTCACACTGTCAGCATCCAATCAAACCTTCCAACACGCACAGAGCTGAAGAGAGAGACAGAGAGAGAGAGTGAAAGAGCAGAAGCACAGCCCTTCGGAGCTAGAGAGAGAGAGAGAGAGAGAGAGAGAGAGAGAGAGAGCCTTCGAGAGCATGGCAGAGAAGCGGAGTTGGATTTGTGGTGCGTGGACCCGAAGTCACGTGAGCCTCACGTGAACGGGTGAATTTTGGGGACACGAGTGACGGGGAAGCGTATCTAAACTCGTGGTCAGAGAGAGGGGTGATCTAATGCTGCGACCTGATTGGCCGGATGACTTTTCGAGGTCCGGTTTTTCATTTGCACTTGCATTTCGCTCCGGTTTTAATTATTTTAATTTGGTTTGTGGTGGAGGCTGGGTCTGGAGGTCGCTTTCGAAAGTGGGGCTGGATTGAACCGAAGCCACTATTTTTGCCCACGGGCTCTTTCGATTTTGGAGTGGGTGGGGTGGGTGGGTCATTGTGGGCTGGGATTTTAATTGGGTGATTTCGGGTTGTGATTCAAACATGATTGAAATTTCTATTTTAAGAAACACCCCATCTCTTCTTTTGTCAATTTCAACTTGCCCTTGCACTACTTTTAGCTTCACCTAAAACGGAGGGATTTTAAATTTGAATTTTGTAAATAAAATTGAGTTTGTAATTAACTTATTATCCTAATCTTTTGAATATATCAGTTTATAAGAAATATATATATATATCATTTAAGTGGCGTTATTTGTTTATTTATTTATTTTTGACAGAAACGATAAAGTGTTTCATTATTAAGAATAACCAAATACAAGTGTCTGATGAGTACAATTTTAGTGGCGCTATGTATAGTATAAATGATTGTCATGTATTCAAATAGTAACTGATAATCCTATTAGATTGTACTCACGGTATAAGAGTCTTTTCTTAGAGCGAGCATGTACCAATTGAATGGTTTTATTTCAAAGTCCAACAATAAAAAATTTAAACTATAATAAATAACGTACAAGGAATTGATTTTGCATAGACCGCCGAATTTTTCATCTAAATTTGGTTTGAATTCGGTGTAGTTAACATAAATATATAATATTTATCGATATTTACAATCTGATAATTTAATTATGATTTGAATCCGATATGTGCTAACCTAACAAACCAATTATTGATTTTGGTTGATCTGGTCCAATTATAAATCAATTTTAAGGAGCCATGTTAATTCCTTAAGGTCCCTTTTGTTACACATCTTTAAGTGGGTCTAGGCTGATTGAGTAATATCTCTACATCTTCATCATGGTAAGTGTAACTCATTGAGTTGTTACTTGCTGAGGTATTGGTCTTTGACCCTTTATGTAACATCCCATATCGACCAATGGAGAGGAGGTAATGTGCCTTATATGTGCATGCCCACCTCTATATAGCACGGGGCTTTTTGGGAGCTCACTGGTTTTGGATTCTATCGCAACTCCGAAGTTAAGCGAGTTTAGGCTAGATCAATCCTATAATTGGTGACCCACTGAGAAGTTGCTCGTGAGTTCCCAAAAACAAAACCGTGAAGGCATGGCCCAAAGTGGACAATATTGTTCTACGGAAGAGCTGGTCTGGGATGTGACACCTTATTTGTTTGAAATTTTGAATGATGCAGAATTGAAAATGTAATACATATGAATTCTGGTATGTTGGTTACTTGCTTAATATGAAAATATGGAAATGTTTTGAATATGAGTGTGTTGATATGTCATGATAGGATTTTTACCACCTACAAAAGTAGAAGTAAAAACACTTAAAAATACTAGCAAGAGAACAAGATAATTGTAGTATAGATGACTCAAGTAAGGTTGTTCTCTACATGAATTATTTGAAACCATTTATGTAAAAATTAAATCTTAATTAATAACTTAAAACAAAGTTTAGAAAAAGCTGATTTTAGAATTAAAAATAATAAAAACGAATTTTAATTAACCATTTTAAGGAAATCAATTTGAAAGTAAATGGTTTTTAAAAATCAAATTTTAAAAGCACTAGGTTCCGCTGTCACCTTAACAATCCTATATAGTTTTGCCAATTACTTATGAATTACAAGTGCAACTTTGAAGATTAGGTTTTCCTAATGCATATTCTACTTGTGGCATTCAAGATGGAACATATATCAAACATGTAATCCATCTGTGACATTCAGATCAACATGCATGACTCATTACGTTTTGTGAAAAACCCTTTGAAAAACCATGAACCCTTAAGACGTGGCATCTGCACACAAGAAGCATTCCTCAATTTCCGAGTCATGGCATCTGCACTAAGACGTGGCATCCGAATATTTATTAAACATCCTAATGATCGAGAAGCATTAGACACAAAGACAATTTAAGTTATTTAAACATCCTAATGATCGAGAAGCATTAGACACAAAGACAATTTAAGCATAGTGATTAATAATTCAAAATATGGAAGCACAATAACATAAACAATTGAATAAAAGACTACATATTCATGCTAAGACTCGTGGTCTTGCCCTAGCAAAAGAGAATTAATTATGTAAAATCAAAAAGCAAAATATCATTAAGAAAAGGATAGAAAATACCCTGTAAAATAAAGTTCAATCGTCAAAAATCTCTAAGTCCAGTTCTCCAAATTGATGTGTAGAGTACCCTAATGGCTAGGTATCTACAAATTAAAATCTTTCATTGCAAAGATCTTCTAAAAACTAAGAAACAGAATAAAATAAAAGAAACTAGAAACTATTGTAATCTATTTTATTTGACAAGGTTAAGGGGGCCAGTGGCATGGAGAAGAGAAAGTGAGAGAGATGTGTTTGTAGAATTGTAGGGGAATGTGTGTGTTATCCCTTCTATATAGTGCCTTTATTTATAATAGTAAAATGAGAGAAGATATTTCTTCATCCCTAGGGAATACAAGATGTAATAGGAAATGATAACTAGAATCAAATCTAATATAAGATTTACACAATCACACTTAAACTAGGAATGTTTGCAACATTCCCCCTTAAGTGTGTAAATACTTAAGGTAGATTCAGCATCATGCAGAAGTTGAGGAAGTCAACTCGTCGGCACTGATTCCAAGGAACAACACTTATTCTCAATAAGATACGAACTTGCATAAGTAAATAAGTCTGACTGAAAAAACCCTAAGGCTATGGCAAAAACCCGAGTAGGGACAAAATCCATAGTCTAAGGAAAAATGTGTGAGAAATGCAAAGTCAAAAGGAACATCTACAGGACGTCATCAAGGATATAACCAGCCCAATTGGGCACCTCGTTAAAACCTAGTTAGGTAGCAAAAGTCCAGTGAGAAAAATGCTCCTAATCGTAGAGAAAAAAAGTACAATAAGATCAAGCAAATATCTTCAAGATACTCCCCATAAGTTTGACATAATTCCAAAGAGAAATAACAATGTTACAAATCAGAAAGTTTACGCATCGCAATTCTATGAACAAGCTTATGAAACATCATCCTCGACGGTGATTTGGTGAAGAGGTCGGCCAAATTGCCTTGTGAACGGATTTGCATGACTTCAATATTCTAATTCTCTTGTTGTTGATGTGAAAAGAAGAACTTCGACACAATGTGCTTCGTGTTGTCTACTTTGATGTAACATTTCTTGAGCTGTTCAATGCATGATGTGTTGTCTTCAAAAATCGTCGTCGGGACATCAATGGTGGGATAAAGATCACAGGAGCTTCAACTATGGCCCACAACTACTCTCAACCAAAAGCATTCTTGAGTTGCTTCATGTAAGGTGAGAATTTTAACATGGTTGGACAAAGTGGCAACTAAGGTATGTTTAGTTGACCTCCAAGAGATTGTGGTGCCCCTAACGATAAAGACATAACTTGTTTGAGAACATGCCTTTTGCGGATCAGATAAGTATTTTGCGTTGGTATAACCAACAAGGCAAGAATCGACTTAAGAAGCAAGGGGTGTGGCATCACTCAAGGATCTATAGGGATAGAACAAGCCCAAATCCGTAGTACCCTTAAGGTAACATAAAATGTCTTTCATGCCAGTCCAGTGTCTGCATGTTGTTGCATTACTGTATCGTACCAAAAGATTAACAGGGAACAAGATGTCAGGTCTAGTGCATTAAGTTAAGTACAGTAAAACGTTTATTGCACTTAGATAAGGAACTTCATGCTCCAAAATCTCTTCATCATCCCCCTTCGAACGAAACGGATCTTGTTTTGCATCTAGCGATCAAACGACCATAAGAGTACTCGAAAGCTTCGCTTTATCCTCATTAAAGCGGCGCAACACCTTCTGGGTATAGCTCGATTGATGTACTAGGATTCCATCAAAACAATGCTCTATTTTGAGACCGAGACAATATCGAGTCTTATTTAGATCTTTCATCTCAAATTTCGACTTCAGGTGCGCGGCAGTTCTCGCGAGCTCTTCAGGAGTTCCAATGAAGTTTATGTCATCGACATATACTGCAACAATAGCAAATCCGAAATGTGACTTCTTAATGAACACACAAGGGCATAGTTCATTGTTCCCATATTCTTGACTAGTCAAATACTCACTCAAACGATTATACCATATTCTTCCAGATTGTTTCAAACCGTAGAGTGAACACCTTAGCCGAATTGATAGCGTGTTCTAGGGTTTGGAAATATTTGAACCGGTCAATGTAAGTCTTTTGGGAACTTTCATATAAATTTCCGTATCAAGATTCCTATAGAGATATGCAATTACCACGTCCATCAGCTGCATACCCAATTTTTCGAAAACTACAAAATTTATAAGGTAGCGAAAAGTAATCACATCCATATCGGGTGAGTAAGTTTCATCATAGTCAATCCTGAGGCGTTGTGAGAAGCCTTGTGCAACAAGACAAGCTTTGTAAGGCACAATTTTGTTCTTCTTATTATGCTTTCGAACGAAAACCCACTTGTAACCAACATGCTTCACATGTGGAGGAGTAGGAGCTACAGGTCCAAACACCTTATGTTACACCCTGAAAATTTAAATATATGAATTTTATATTCAAAATTGTGAATATGTGAAGAAAATTGAAATTAAATCGATATACGGTCCCAAAGATAGAAATGGGGAAAATCGTAAAGTTTTGTTACAAGAATTATTAGAATGTACGTATTTGTGGTATTGAGAATTTATGTTATTTTTCGGGAAATTATATTAATTTATTTGAGTTCAGTTT